GCGGTAAAGTCAGGATCAGGTACTACAAAGGCCAAATGGCCCACCCAATGAGGACGGATGGTACAACAAATGGCATCGAGTAGGCACGCCCAACGGTCGAGGTCGAGCTACCCCAGACCTTCCAGTAACCGATGAACAATCGACGATCGAGAAAGGTCTATTAGTTGCTGGAGGGAGGGGGGCGGCCCGCCGCTCGTCTCCCGCCCGGCTCCTTGTAGCCCTCCTTTGACCTTTCACCCATCTCCACTTTTTCTCAGGCGTCCCGTGCACTGTTTGACGTATTCACTTATTAGGCGCTATGCACTACCTACAGTTGATCTTCGCACTACCACTAGCGACCCGACTCGAGTCCCCTATTCGTCTCCTCGACTTCGCTAGCACCGCTGCCTTGCTCTTCTCCTTCGCCCCTGACGCCGCCCTTGGTGCTTGCTCTTCGCCCCTTCTTCTTTGGGCTCGGCACCTGCTCCACCTCCCCGCCGGCGTCCCCGACGGCAGTGCTCGCACCCTGTCCAAGCATGGCAAGGGACAGACCCGAGGGCGTGAGCTCGGCCAGAGCGCCTGGGGTGGCACCCACCGGACCCCCGCGACTCGAAGCCGCCGCCGGGTCAGATTTGCTCATCGACGCAAACTCGTCGAGCGCCAGCACCATCATGTCGTCCCCGTGAGGCGGCCCCCGGTCCCGGTCCCGCTGGTGCCGGGACCAGCCTGCAGAGTCTGCTGAGCTGCGCGAGAGCGTGTCCGAGCAAGCCTCGTCCATATCCATCTCCATCCGTTGGTGCCGGTCTGGCACCATGCGGACAGGCCTCACACCACCGACTGCTTTCCTCCCCGAGCTGCGCTGTGCCGAGGCGATGCGCCGGGTCCTTCGGCCCGCCGTCCGAGCCCCGCACGCCACGCCGAGGGCGCAGCACAACAAAAGCAGGGCCGCCAAGATCACGGCCATCGACGCCCAAGTGCCTGCCGTTAAGCGTAGTCTGCTCATCGTGTCCCACGAGTAGGCCGCGACAGTGCAGCTCTCCGTCGGCGTCACCACGCCAATGCTATCTGAGCACCGCGCCGACTCGCCGCTCCCGCCGGGGCACTGGCTCGAGTCGCAACACTTTGCGAACGCAAGCGGCGTGATGGCTTGGCTCGGGTCCGACTCTAGCACGACGCGGCACCAGCCCGGCCTCGCCCTCACCGCCCCTCCGGCGGGGCACTCTCCGCCCTCGTAGCAGACGGAGCACTGGAGCGACTCACCCAGCAGCCCGTTGCTCGCGTACCCCGCCTGGCACCGGCACTGCACAGCGCTCGTGGAGGCCACGCCCGCCGTGGTGGAAAAGAAGGGACACTGGCTGCACTGCGCTAAGCCTGGCGAGTCGCCGTACCAGCCCCTCGGGCAGGCGAGACACCTGCAGTCCGAGGTGCCGCGCGGTGAGCAGTGCGGCTAGCGGATGGGCGCTGGCGGCATGTGGAGGTAGGGGGAGGGGGGGAGGGAGTGCAGACTGCAGAGGCACCAAGGCGAGTCGGGCCCCGCCGCATACGACCCGATGGGGCAGGGCTCGCAGTCGTTGCTGTACTCGGAGAAGGTGAAGCCTGGCCGGCACACCGCCTCGTAAACCGCCTCGAAGCCTCCCGACACGTCCGAGCCGTCCGAGGTGAACTGGACCAACATGCTCATGCCGGTGGACGTAGTCGAAGGCGGTAGCATCTCGCCCGTGTAGCCGTTGCCGTTGAGCCGAGGCGCGAGGACGTCGGAGCCATCGAAGAGGAGGACACGGTCCGCGGGATCGAGGATGTGCAGAGAGGAGAAGGAGACGCGCACGTTGGCGTTTGCCACCGCCGGCTGGATGAGCCATCGGCAGTCCACGTTCGAGGGGTACTGGTGGCTCCCGTCGCCGAACGAGCCGCGCGCCGCCGAGAGCGTCAGATTGCCCCCGCAGCCGGGTCGCAAGCTCCAGACGTCCGAGAGTGGTGCGTGCCCCGTGCTGAGACCGCCCATCAGCAGCGCCGACGACGCGGACGCCAGCGCCGTCGCTCCCCAGCGCGGCTGCGGGGCGTCCGACATGGCGATCGGGCGTGTCCACGCGAGCTGACCCGCCACCGCTGAGTAGACGGAGAAGGACCAGAGGTCGGAGAGGATATCGCCCGCGGCATTGACGCCGCCAAAGACAAAGACGGTGGCCGTGCCGGCCACGTACAGCATCGCGTGCCCCTCCCGCCCGGGCGGCTCGTCGGTGCCAACCAGCACGGGCGCACTCCAACGGTTGCCGTGCAGGCTGAGGATGTGCACGTCAGAATACATCCTCTGCGTCAGGGCGAGCGGGTTGACCCCTCCAAAGACAATCAGGTTCTCAAAGGCGGCGCACGCTGAGTGCCCCAGCCGCGGTGGCGGCGTCTCCCCCGATGGCGAGAGTGAGTACCAGCGGCCCTCTGGCTGCGTCGCATCTGCGTTGAAGTGCAAGGCGTGAACGTCGCTCAGGCCAACGCCAGTGGCATCCTGCCCTCCGAAGACGACCATGCCATCGGGATCGCCCGGCACAAAGGGCAGCTTCACCAGCGTGGCGGTGTGGCGCTCCCGCTCCGCGGGCGGTGAGCCGTCCGAGGTGACGCCGGTTGTGGCCACGGCGACCGGCGTGGTCAAGACAGTCACAATCTGCCAGCGGGGGAGGCTCCGGTGCAGGTCGAGCATGAAGACCGTCTGGGTGGTTTCGGGGCTCAGCGGCGCGGCCGTCGACCCCGTCGACTGCGATCCACCCCACAGCACCGCCAGCTGGTTGGAGAAGGCTGCCATCGGCGCGCCGCGGCGGGCGCGTGGGCGCAGCCCGGCGGGGGAGAGCTCGAGCCAGGTGCCGTCGCCGACCGCGTACATCCACAGGTCGGCAAAGACGGAGCTCGTGTCGCTCCCACTCATGCCACCAAACGACCAAACCCGCTGTCCGCTCACCACGGCGGCCGAGACGGGGTGCTGCAGCACCGCCGACGTGAGGGCGCGCGCAGCTGGCTGCGGCTGGGCGCTGCAGCACTCTTGCTCAAAGACGAGGTACTGCTCGGCGCCGGCGGCCACGAGGGCCAACGCGGCCAGCAGAGGGCGCCCCACTACCTGATGTGTGGTCGGCGGCATTGCGCGGCGTGTTGTAACAGATTTTTCGGTTCGTTTTATGCGTTTTTAAATGTTTTTTATGCTTACGTACATCCCCTTTAGCAGGTCTGCTGACAGGGTTTGCGATGAGGAGCATTTTTACGTAGCTCTTACGAACATATCCGAAGGTGGAGCGATGGTATTTGACTCTTGCGTTGTGTTTGTGCCCCGACCCGCGTCCTCGCTTATTTTCTTGAGGTCGTCTTCACGGCTTCGGCCGAACCGGACCCCGTGTCGAGGTTCGGGTTTGCGTGTGCCCCAGTGCCCGCCCAACCGCCGCGTTTTGGTTGAGGTGTCCGTCGCGCCGCACGCCGGTAATGGCCCCTTTTGCGTGCGTAGCCGCCCTCCTGTTCCTGCCTAGCGTGGCTGCGCTTGGCGAACCCCTCGCCGGTGCGGAAGACGCTCTCCTCCCGACCGACCGCGGCACCACCTTTGGCTCCAGCCCGACCTACAGCTATCTGTACACCTACGAAGGTGAGTCGTCCGGCCGCGACGCGAGATCATCTGGCCGCGGCTGCGAAGACATCTGGTCAGCGAGCAAGTGCCAAAAGCATGCCAACAAGGGCCGTTGCCATCTTGGTAAAATGCAAAAGAAGTGCAAGGCAACCTGCGGCTTGTGCCCTCCTGAAGAAGAGAAGCCCGACTCGGCTCTCAAGGAGGGCGTTTGTACTGTCGGCGAACCTTGCTCGACACCTACCGCCTTCATGAGCGCGGCCGAGGCGCAGGCCCGCACGATCATCGAGAAGAAGGCGCGACCCGCACACGCCCACTGTAGCAGCAGGCGCAGCTACAGTCACCGCCCTTGCCCTGGCCGCCCCTCAACCGCAGGCCCGGCTTGAGTACCTGGACGTGTCTACTCCTTCCTTCCTCATCAAAAGTTCACTCGATCGCGTCTACGAGTGGCTCGGCCAGTTGGACGCCAGCCGCGCGGGACAACATCACGAAGACTACAATCCTACTATGCCTCCCATTGGTGACGGCTACAATCCGACTCGGCCTCCCCTAGACGACTTCAAGCCGCTGTGCGAGACCCTCCCCGCCTCGCATATGTGCCAGCTCATGGACGAGGCGCTGCGCAAGGACCCGTCTGCTACCTTTGAGGTCACGCCGCTGCCGGGGCTTGAACCAGACTCCTTCACATATACCTTTGCCGAGGTCCATCAGTGGAACCCCTTGGCGGACTTCCGGGAGATGCCGGGCGGGCTCCTAGGCTTGGGCTTCCCCAGCGACGCTGGTGCGCTGCCAACTGGCATCTGGACGATGACGATTCTCGACGTGGCAAGCACGAGGAGCGGCTCTACGCCAAGCGACCCAGTCGACTGGCGTCAAAGGACATTCACCCTCTCTGCGCTCAAGAATGGCGCGTCGGGCAAGCCCACTGCCCTCGAGTCCTCGAGTGCAGACCCTGTCTGGGACGTGGGTCGGTATCCCGACCAGATCATGCCGGAAACCAACACTGTCCTCTACGGAGTCACCGTCCGCTTCAACAAGCGGCCCTCGGTTGAGTGCCCAGCAGCTGCGCACAACCGCACCCGTGTCCGCATGACCCTGGTCACCGACCCAATGGGCAACGATGAGGCGGGCATCGGCCAGTCGCGCGCACCTGTCACCACTAAGCCCCCGAATGAGCGCCGGAAGCTCTCCATCTATCCGTCCGGCGTGCCCTACGACTCGAATGACGAGCGCAAAGAGGTCCTCTACCCCAACAACTTCTATTGGGGCTGGTGCAGCCTCCCTCAGCGTGCAACCGCCCGAGGACGGGTCCCAGACACCCATGCCACCTTTCTCATAGGTCGACGCTCGTCTCGACTGGCAATCGTTTCGACCGCTGGTGCTCCGGCACCATGATCTCGCCAACCGTCCTGCTGACTGCCGCCCACTGCATCGCCTCCGGCGGCTCGGCCGACTCCGCCGGCGGCACCAATTGGCTAGCCCAGCCACAGGAGAACGGCTGCGCCCCGCTTCGGCACACATGCATAACTTAACTCACGTCCAGCCCCCACCCGGCAGATCTGTGTGCGCGACGTGCAGCGGACGACACCGACGGCAGCGAACCCGACCGAGGAGGATTGCGTGAGCAATGGCGGCATCCTCGCGACGTGGCGCAAGATGACCACGTTTGTCAAGTGGACACGCGATTGGGACGCTGATTGGGACATCGCCTGGATCACTCTGTCGGACCCTGTTGGGTACACTAGCGGCTGGAAGGGCATCCGCACCGCCGAGTACGCACCGGGCACCATCCTCAACGTGGCGGGCTATGGCGGCGACTGCCCTTCGGGGGGGGATTGCTCCGACAACATGAAGACCATGGCGTGTAAGATCGAGTCGGACTGCACCAACAGCCAGCGCTACTACTACACGTGCGACACCATCGGCGGTGCATGGGCGAAGCCGATGACCCGTGCCCGCGTGTGTGAGAAGGGCTTACTCGACGTCACCCTGCTTAGGCATGAGTGGCTCTGGCGCCTACCTCTACTACCCCTCGCTGCCCGTCCCTGACAACCGCTTCGTCATTGGCGTTCACGCCTACGGCAGAGCAGCTTCGCGCTCCTGCCACACCATCCGAAACTGTGCACGCCCTTTCACGGTGCCACTTGCGATTGGATAGGCTTCAACAGCGCGACGTGTGGCGACCCCGTGGGGTTCAACCGCGCTGTCCGCATCCGCCCCAACATCCTCGCCACCATGTGCGCCAACACAGATGATATGTTGTGTTTTTGAGGCGCCGCAAGGCGCGCCGTCCGCAAGGTCTGAAAGGGCCTCGAACTAGGGCTCAAGCAGCCCTCGAACAACCGTGCTTGTGGCCACGCCGCTACTATCACATCTTCGAGTCACATCTCCAAACCGCCAACGCGCTAGGCGCGATCCATGCATTCTTAGAGAGGCTCCGGCCGAGGTAGTCGTAGTGGGCGGCTGCCAGCCAGCGCCCAACGGGAGCGGGCACCTGACTAACCTTTGGGGTAGTGGGGAGAGGTAGACGCGGTCAGCACTTGGAGCACTTGAAGAGAGCCCTTGCGACTTGGGGTCTTGGCGCCGTGTATAGCGGTTTCTTCTTGTCCTGGACATGTTTGTATTTAAGGACTGATACTACTCGGAGTGACCGGGGCGGACATACTCAAAAGAAATCCTGGTTTCGAGGACGACGACGCGCTCGACGCGCTGCTCTTGCTCGCAATGCTAAAGCCAGTCAAGAAGGTGAAGGTGAAGGCGAGGCCACTCGTGGAGGAGGCGGAGGCGGAGGCGGAGGCGGAGGAGGAGGCGCAGGCGTCGCGCCCAATCCGGCAGCAGGCGGCCGTCTCCAATGAGGCGGCGCTGCAGCTCAAGCTGCAGCAGCTGACGGGCGGCGTCGACCCGGAGGCGGACGACGCCGCGTGGCTCGACTGCCTCGTGGTGACGGCGCCCGAGCCGCTCGGCGTGGAGGACGCCGAGGACGACCTCAAGCGCGAGCTCGCCTTTTACAACCAGGCGCTCGGCGCCGTCAAGGTGGCGCAGGCGCGCATGGACCGGCTGGGCGTGCCGTACCGGCGGCCGGACGACTACTTTGCCGAGATGTCCAAGTCGGACAAGCACATGGAGCGCGTCAAGCGCAAGATCATCGGCGAGCAGCAGGCGATCGCCGGTGCCGAGCAGCGGCGAAAGCAGCGTACGGCCAAGAAGTTTGGAAAGGCGGTGCAGGTGGCAAAGACGCAGGAGCGGGCGCAGCAGCGGAAGCGCGAGATCGCGTCCGTGACGAGCGCGCGCAAGAAGGGCGTCCAGCTCGACCCGCGCTCGTTCGACGGCGGGTTTGACGAGCCTCCCGCCAAGCGACAGGCGCGCGCTGCCGCCCGCAGAGCCGCAGATAGCGCACAGAGCTGCACAGAGCCGCAGAGACGCACCCAGGACGGGGCGCCGCCACCGCCGTGCGGGAGGAGAGTGCGAACCCCCCCCACCTCCCACCCTTCGCCTCCTCCCCTCACCGCCCTCGCCCTCTGCGTCGCCAGGCGAGCGGCGCCTCCAAGCGCGAGCGAGCAAACCAGCGGTTCGGAAAGCACTTCAAGGACAAGCGCAACTCGGCCGAGTCGTCGGCGGACATGAGCGACTTCAACGGGCGGAGAAGCGGCAAGGGCAAGGGTAAGGGCAAGGGCAAGGGCAAGGGCGGCGGCGGCGGGCGCGGCGGCGGGCGCGGCGGCAGCGGCGGGCGCGGCAGCAGTCGACCAGGCAAGGAGGCGCGCCAAAAGGCGCGGCAGTGAGAGAGCAGCGCGGCGGTGGACGAGGCGTCGCGCTCGGCCCGAGCTACGCGAGTTTTCTTTCTCGTGTTCCCGCGTTATCGAGGCTCGCGCCCCCGTTATTGCTAGCTCTGATCGGTGTGCCAAGTCGGTTCCTCCGGTTTATCTCTCCGTGGTGGCGGTTGTCTAGTCGTGTGTCGTCGCTTTTGGAGAGTCAATGTGTTTTTGATGCCACTGACTCAACAGCTACGTGTAATATACTCGATCTCGATCGTCATCGAGGAACAAGACACGGCGCTGCGACGGTGTATCATTCACTTTATGCCACCGTTGGCGTTGCATATAGGTCCGGATATATTATACGATGCAACGCCAACGGTGGCATAAAGTGAATGATACACCGTCTCACCGTCGCAGGCGCACAGGCACACGCGCCGAGCCCGAGGGACATGTACCATGCCTAAAAAAAATGTGGAAACCGCTTATACCCGCGACGCGCGACGAGCCGCGTCGCGTAGAGATCCATCATCCATCCATGCTTAGCGGACGATCCCTCAGATCCCTCCCTGGCGGTCCGTGCCCGGTTTTTTTCGCGGTATCCGCGGCGGGATATGGCGGCTTGGCGGGATACGGTCAGATATGGAGAGATACATCAAGATACCGCAAGAAAACCGGCCAGACTAGGGCTTCCCTCGGCCCCTCTCACACGTCAAACACACCACGAGATCGTGCAGGGCGGGGGTTTAAATATGTAGAGGCAGGCGGCCGGCAGGCGTGACACAGCCGAGGGTCGACGCCGGAGGCGCCTGCGACGTTGCGACAGAGGGCGTGCGCCGCTTCGGCGGGGTAGGCAGCGTCCGACGGGCGCGCCTCGGGGCACGAACCCCTCCCGCGGCCTGCGGCGGCCCAGGCGCGCGGCTCGCACACGCAAGCGTTGTACCTTCCAAAGGCGGTGGCCGGGTCGCTCGCCTCGGAGACGTTGAAGCTGGGCCCGAGCCCGGCGTTGTACGGCTGGGCGGCGCGGATGTCCTTCGCGCCCGCCGTGGTGTGCAGGTGCAGGTACCACACGTCGGGCACCACGTGGAAGCACTGAGCCAAGCAGCCGCTCGCAGCAGTCGGCTCCTGGAGGAGGAGGGGCAGGAGGGTGGGGAGGGACCGGCGCGAGGGGCGTGTGCTCGAGTGTGCCGCGCCTCGTTCTCCGCGGCGCAGGAGCCGAAAGCGTCGAGGCGCCGCACCTGCCTCAGCCCGCCAGCCACGAGGTCCTGCAGCAGCCCGCAGGCGCTCGCAGCGTCGCTCGCGATGAGGTCGGCGAGCGACGGGCCGGGCTGCGGCCCCGGCCGGCGCGCCGCCACCACTGTCGCGTCTCCTCTGGCCGCGTCGGGCCGCGAGCAGCAGTCGGCGACGTAGAGCCGCCGTGGCAGCGAGAGCACGTGAGCACCAACCGCCTCACACCGAGGGTCGCGGCTCACGTCGCAGTCCTCGCCGTAGCCGGAGCCCAGGTCGGCCGCCCAGTCGGGCACATACCCATACTTTCTTTCGCTCGCGTTGCCAGAGGTCGATCCGAGCGCGATGGCAAATGCTCCCGACGCGTGGACCATCGTCGCCGAGTGGCCGCCGTCGAGCGACACAAAGTCGGCCCAGCGAGGACATGACTCCTCCAGCTCACGCAGACGCGGCGTGCCCGGCTGTGCGTGCGCTGCCAGCGCCGCGTAGGCACAGAAGCACCGCTCGCGCGAACCGTGGTGCTCCCACGAGGAGACCACTTCTTCGCCGGGCCAGGCGGGCAGGGAGCAGGGCGGAGGTGGCGAGCGGGCGCGTGCAAAGAGGGAGGCGAGACAGATCGACACGGCGCACGCCAGAGTGTAGGAGTGACGGCCGCGCATGCACTTGCGCATCTCCTCCACCTTTCGGAGCCAGGCCAACGCGCTGCTGGGCGTTAGTTGCTGGTGATGAGGCGCAGTCGTGCGAAGGCCATGGAAGATATCGCCCTCAATTTTACTCTCTTTGCGTTGCGTGTTTTCTTTCAGCGATCCCACGACGATTGTGGGGCGCCTTAGGCTGCATACATGTTTCCTCGCTCACCGTATCGTTTGCTTTCCGTGTTTCTCTACAGCACCCTCTCGTTTCCTCTCTAGTTTCCCGAGGCAAGCGAGCGCTAGTGAACGCCCAGGGAACCGATATGTATGCCTTACAGTATTTTTATACAATACTCAGGTTCCGCTAGCAAGTCATGAACAGGGTAAGGGAGGGAGGGAGAGCAAACAACTGGGAAGTTCACAGCTGAGCTTACCCAGAGAACTCCGTTCTCACCCTTCGCCACAAGCGAGCGCTAGTGAACGCCCAGGGAACCGATATGCCATCCCCAACCGCCCGAGCGCCCGAGGTGGGCGCTCGGAGGCCGGAGGCATGAGAAGGCCGACATGCGCGCGGGGCGCACGAGCGGCGGAGCGAGAGCGGGCTCGCGTATGCCGAACAGCTCGCCGACAGCATCGTCGCGACCGACGCCGCCGCCGAAGGCGGGGGGGGCCGCGGTGACCACCGCCGCCCACGTCGTCCTCCGACGAGTCGGCGTCGGAGTCTGGGGGGGGGTGGGAGGGTCGGGGCGCACCCGCTCGCGGTCCTTGGCCGCCTTGCCGCCCGCTCCGCCGCCGTCGCCGCCGCCACCGCCGCCGCCCGGTGGGGGGTCTCCCCCGTCCCCCCTCGGGCTGTGCGGCGGGCTGTGCGGCTTGAGCCTCGAGCCGCTCGAGCTGCTTGCGAAGCACTCGCAGCTCCTCGGCCGAGTCCACGGGAGCGGGAGGCGCGGCTGGGGCCCCGTCGGTGCCCCCGCCAGCCCCCGAGGGGGGGGGCTCCTGCCCAGAGCCTTCTTTGGCCTCTGCGGGCCGTACGTCTTGGTCAGCGTCGGAAGCGCGCTTCGGCGCGGATTTGCCCATATCGTTGGGCGCACGGAGCTCGGAGGGAAGGAGAGGTGGGCTCCTGCCCGAGAAGGTCGCGGGACCTGCGCAGAGCTCGCTCTGCGTGATGCCACTCGAGCTTGGGCGTGCACGCAAGGGCCACGCGCAAGCAAGAGCAAACAACTGGGAAGTTCACAGCTGAGCTTACCCAGTGCAGAGTGCAGAGAACTCCGTTCTCACCCAAAACTCCGAGAGAGAGAGAGAGATTTTTATTAACCAACAAGAAATCACGACTCTCACAGTGATTGGGGCTCGGCAGCTTGTTAGCCCTCAGCCGAAGCTGGGTCCGGTCCCGTAGCCGAGAGAGCCCGCGCCGATGAGTTCGACGCGGTCGGGGGGGCCTGCGGAGAGGCCAGCGAGTTGGCGATCGCTGTACTTCATGGTGTCATCAAGTGACTGGCTGACTCGCCAGAGGTCGATACTCTGGACGACCCATAGGATGCCACGAATGCCTGAAGGAGAGGGAGGCGAGGCCAGAGGCAGGCTCAGCTGCTCTCGGGTGATCCCGCTTTGGTGGCTGAAGGACCCGATGGTCCTGTCACATTCGTGTTCCGAGTCGTGGGGGTAGAAGAATTCGAGGTGGAATCGAGTCAGCACTTCCTTGTAGTACAGCGGACCGCCAGGCTCGCCGGCAGCATCCGCAGGGAGGCAGCATATGAGGCACCAGTCTTCTGGAGAGCTCAACAGCTGCGGCCGCGATGGTAGAGTCGGCCGCGGTTCGAGCGAGCAGCTTTTGGCTGCGGGTTCGAATCGCGGAAGGCTCATGCCCTCGCGGAGCGACGCGGGTCGCGCGGCGCGCGCGTGTGCGAAATGCGACAACGAAAGACGACAGGCGCCTGAGCGCTGTACGCCTGAACTTTTGTCGCCGCACTCGCCACCGCCGCCATCTTGACGAGCAGCGCGAGCGCGCTCGTCGGCGGCCAGCCGTCGCGGGCCGGGCCGAGCCCGACCTCAACCGGCCGCGCCGCCGCAGCTTCAAACTCCGTGGAAATCAGCTGGTTTGGGGTTTGGCAAACGCTCAACATGGGCGATCCACCGCTTCCTTTTCGGGACGGACGAAATGATCGCGGAAAAGCGGGACCGCATCGCGACATCGGGGGGGTTCACCATACATCGATATATGCCGAGCCTGCTCGGCCTGCGCGCGCGCGCCTCGCCCGAGCGCAGCCACCTGCGGACCTGGCCAGCCTGTTCCTGGCTCGTGCCCAGCCTCTCCTTCCGCTGCCGCCGGCCTCGCAGTCCCGCCAGCCATCACGCTGCAGAGCCTGCGTAGACGCCACAGACGCCAATTCTGCAGCCCACAGCCCAGGCAACTGAGGGCGAGGGCCAGCAGTATACGACGACGACATCTCACACCCCGCGCTGGCCAGCGCCATCAGCCCCTCACAGCCCGGCCCAACCTCCCTTCGCCTCGCCTCCAGTGCCTCCAATCAAGACAACAAAATCCCACAAGACCGGCCACGGCTACGACCTACGTCAAGGCGCATCGCGGTTTCTACCACGACGCGATCTTTGTCAAGCGCAACAACTTCAACCTACTGCTCCACGAGACGTTCGGCGGCGGCTTCTCGCCCACCGCCGTTCTCAAGCTGCGCCGCCTCGCGCGCAAAGTCGCGCGCGGCAGCGTTGACCGCACGGCCTACTCGCCCAAGTACTCGCTCTCTTTTATGTCCCACCATGCAGAGCGCATCTCTCTCTCTGTTGTGCGAGGCGTGAACCGAAGAAGCGCACCCAGAGCGAGCCGGATGGTCGGCATCGGGCTACGGGCTAGAGAGCCCTGACCCCTAGCTAGGGGGGGTGCGCATTCGCAGGGAAAGGGCCGTAAAGTAAACACGGGTCTCCGAGGGTTGGCCCCGCACTTGGAGCACTTGGAAAAAGAAAGAAAGAAAACAGACAACCCAAGGGAGGGATGGGAGGACGGTACGCCGCCACCACACAGGGATTTTAGGGGAGAAGTGTGGTGCCTGGTGCTAGCCGTCGCCCACCCTCGGGCGTCTACCACTTCCTATCTCTCCCCGCAGTTCCTCACCAATTCTCGCAGCGACCTTCATGCTACCTCGCGTTCTTCCCACTCTCGTCGTTCTCTCTCCTGCTGGAGCACTTGGAGTGCAGTCATTTTCTGAGAAGAATTCTTATTTGGGATTCAATGCTGTCTTCGGGTGCTGTCTTCGCTCTGCTCTGCTGCTGCCTCGCCCTGCTGCCGAGCTCGTCTGCGCTCGTCGCAAACCCGCGCATCGCGTCGACCGCGAGCGTGGCACGTCGCACAAGTGTGCTTGCGGCAGATGCGACAGCGGAGCGCAAAGCAAAGCTCGCAGCCTTCAACGCCGAGCAAAAGGCGAAGCGGGCTGCCGCGGCGGCAGCTCGTAACGGAGGCAGCAAGGCGGCCGCGCCCAAGCCCGCCTCTTCGCCCTTTGCTGGCCTTTTCGGCGGCGGCTCGAAGCCCGCGCCGCCGCCGCCGCCGCCGCCGTCGCCGCCAGCCTCGATGTTTGGGTTCGGCGGCGGGAAGGCGGCTCCCGCCGCAGCCAGCGGAAAACAGGCTCCGGCCAAGAGCCAGAGGGCCGGCGGGACCGGAGTGGACGAGAAGGCTCTCAAGGCGCGCAAGGCGGGCCTCGACGCGCTGAAGGTGCTCGCGCGCACCGCGCGCGAAAGGCAGGAGCGCGAAAAGTCGCCACCGCGCGCCAAGCCTCCCGCCAGGCCTCCCGCCAAGCAGAGCGGCGGGACGAGCGCCTTCTCGCTGCCGCCGCTGTCGCTCCCAGCGATCCCAACGATCCCGATGCCCGCGCCGGCAGCGCAACCTGCGCCGCCGCCGCCGCCGCCGCCGCTGCCTGCGCCGCCTGCGCTCGCGCCGCCGCCGCCGCCCGGTGCGGGCTTTGACCTCGGCGGGCTGGTCGCCACCTACTCAGAGCTCGCTGCGGTGAAGGTGCAGCTCGCATTGCTCGAGCAGCGGGACGCGCTGGCCGCCAGCGTGCAAGCCAAGGTGGAGGACGCCCGCGCGGCGCCGGCACGGCTCGCCGCCGCCGCCAGCGACCAGGCGCAGCGCGCTGCCGCCGAGGCGCAGGACCAGGCGCAGCGTGCAGTCGCCGAGGCCAAGGCCGCGCCCAGCCGCGCTGTCGCCGGCGCACGAGACGCGGTCGCTTCGGCAAAGGAGGAGGTGGCCAGCCGGGTGAAGGGGGAGCTGGCCGCGGCGGAGGCGAAGGTTCAGGGCCTCACCGACGGCGCCAAGGAGCGGCTAGGGCGCTGATCGCCGACGCGAAAAGGGGGCCTCTAGACTTCGACTGAGCGTTTATCGTTCTCGCATCTCGGGGTTTTGGATTGGCCATATGCATATCTCGCTCTCGCGGTCGCCTGCGGCTGCGCGCGTGTGTGCGCGCGCCGCGCGCGGCGCCGACGACAATCTCGGACCGATCTCCACTGCACTCTGCAGGATCCACTGCACATGCGTTCGCGGCGTCCGGTGAGCTCATCTCGAAGCGGCGAATTGTAATAAAACGCTGTACAACACCGAGACTCTAGCTCTCTCGCGATATATCCCGCACACACGACAACATCTCTCACAACGCACCTCTCCACAAAATACGGTCGATACACGGCACGACGTCGTGTGCGTGCATCGGGCGGCCGGCAGCGAGTCGGTAGGGGCGCGACGGCGCGGCTCTGCGCTCGGCTCGGGCAGGGCGCGGCCATGGCGGGACGGCGTAGTAGTGGCGGCGGCGCTCCCCCCAGCCACGTGCGCGCGTGCATGCAGGGGAATGCGCATGTGCATGCACGCAGGCGCGCTGACTTCCGCGGCAGGGCGCTCTACTTGAAGCCGCCGATGCCGGTGGCGATGCGGAGCTGCTCGTACGACACCCAGAAGACGAGCTGCCACGGGCCGAGGCGCAGCCAGCCGGGCACAAAGCCCTTGTACAGGGCGAGCGGGCCCTCGTTGCGAACAACCTTGGCCCAGCAGTCGAAGGTGCCGTTGTACGGCATGGTGCCGTCGGGCAGCTTGGCCTGCCCCATGATGCGCGACTTGGCCACGTCGGCCGGCGTCGAGCAGAGCGAGGCGACGAAGCCAGAGCAGATGGCCGAGGCGAGGTGGCACTTCAGGTTGTCGCCCGTGTAGACGACGATGGCCTTCTTGGCGGAGTCGTAGGTGGTCAGCTCGCCTGCGTGGGGGCGGGCGGGCGGGCGGGGGGGGGGGGGTGGGAGGCGGGCCGGCGGTGCGGCGGTGCGAGGCCGAGGCGGCGGCACCGAGGTTGACGAGTGCAGCGCGCAGGATGGCGGGGGAGCAGCCGGCGTAGAAGCCGCCGATGCCGGCCTCCGCCTTGATCTTCGTGAAGGCGTCGAAGAGGCCGGTGTAGCGTGGCTTGTCGAGCTTGCCCGCCGCGACCAGCCGCCCGTCGCCCTGCATGCGCACCTTGATCAGGTCGCACGGCACGGCGATGGCCTGGCCGATGCCGCCCGCAGTCATGCCCGCCGCCATCTTGGCGAGGAGGGGCGCCTGCTCCTTGGGCTTATCGCCGCAGAAGAAGGCGCGGATGTACTCGTACCCGATCGCGCGGAAGCCCGTGTACGGGATGTGCCGCGCGATGGCGGGAGTCACGCCCGCATACAGGCCGCCGATGCCCTCGTTCTTCATGATGTTGCCCATCATGCCAACGAAGCCGTGCTTGGTGCCCACAAAGTCCGGCTGGCCCTGCAGCTGCAAGCGCGTCTTCGTGATGTCGATCGGGACTGCGCGACGGCAGGTGCAGGAAAGTGAGCTGCAGAGCTGCTTGCCGCGCAGGCGCCGCGCACAGGTGCAATTAGCGGCGCGCGCCGCGCGCAGGCGGATACGCAGAGGCGCGCGCGGCAGAGCCAGGGCGGCGGGCTGCGGGCGCGGCGGTGCGCGCATGCGCGGGGCGGCGCGCACAGGTCGCGCCCTCCGCCATCATCGACGACGTGCCGGTCAGGACGAATTTCTGCGCGATTGCCGCGAAGCCCTTGGCCTCGCCGCCCGGCATGGCCTGTGACTGGGCCGGCGCCTGCGACGAGCGAAGCAGGGCCGTCGGGCGCGGTGTTACGCGAGGGATGCGCCGCGGGGTGCAAGGGTATAAGCGCCATTTGTGCAGAGCTTTTCAGAAGCTTGTGGAGCACGCCGACGAAGAATAATAATCTAGCCGCCGTGCTGGCCTGGAGCCGTCTCCCATCCCTCAACCTATCTGTTTTCTCTCTTTCGTGTTAGTGCCAGTGCGTGCCAGTCTTGTGCGTGTGCTGTGCGAGGGAGTTTTGTTGTGAAATTCCAGAATTCTCTTGTTGACTCTCCGTCATTCGCCTGTCCTTCTCTCTACTCTCCCCACCCTCCCTCCTCCCTCCAACACCCAAGTGCCAAGAGCCGAGGAGACCGCGGACGCGGGCGCGAATGACCAGAAGCTGGCCCAGCCGCTCGAGGAAGTGCGGCGGTACGTCCCGACACCGCCGCCTTCACCCGGGGAGACGGCGGCGGGGCCGCGGCCGAGGAAGTGGAAGAGGGGAAGGCGGGCTCCGCAACCGTCACCTGACCATCGAAAGCGAACAGAGGGAGGATTCTCAGTGACAGTGTATGTATGTAGCTCTTACGAACATTCCCGGCCACCACGTTCCATCTGTGATCCTGTGTGAGCTCTGTGTCTTGGTTTGCCAACAACATACCACACCACGTTCCGTCAGCATCTCCACTTACGCGACACAAGTCGTTACGCTTCCAGAGCACAAACCACACAAACACAGACATATGCGCCCCGCGTCGGCGGACTCCGGCGCCGGCCGACCCGCCTCACCGTGCCGCGACTCGACCAACAGCTTTGCGCGATCGCATCAGCGCGCGCAGGCCAAGATGCACCGGGCGGCCCGCGCGAGCTCCGCAGACCGGCGCGCCGGCCCGAGGTGGAGCGCCCCGCCCCTGGAGGCGCGGGGGCTCAGGCTCGCGGCGCCGCGTTCGAGAAAGTGTGAGACGGGTGCGTTCAACGACTTTGTTGACCTCCTCTCCGCGTCCACGGCCGCCGAGGCCGCCACGCTCGTTTCCGAGGCGATGCGCCTGTGCCTGCCGAGGGATGCTGCGGCCGGGGGCGGCATGAGCTCCACCGCGGCTTTGCAACGTGCCCTGTCGGCTCCGTCGCTTGGCACGTCGTCCATGCTGGCCGAGCAGGTCCAGATGCGTCGCGCGCGAAGCATGCACGGGAGTGCGACCCGCTTGCAAGCTGCGTGGCGCGGCCGGACGATGAGGAGGGTGTGCCGCTTCTTGCGAGCGCAGCTGGCCAGGCACCGGCGGCTCTGTTGGCTCGCCGACCTGGAGGAGATGACGCTCTTCCTGCGGCTTGCGGACGCAGCTACATCAATCCAGGCCACCTTCCGTGCACTCCGAGACGCAAAAAAGCACGGCGTCGTGCGCAGTGCCACGCAACGGCCTCACGCCACCCGGCATGCAGTTAGCGGGCGGCGGCTTAGCTGGCGCGACTCGTGCTCGTCGCTCCCACTCTGTGATGTGACGGTCTACGACCCCCCGTGCATTGCGGCGTGGCCGCAGCCGCGGTACGTGTGATGTTTTCCCCCAGCTTCGCACTTTCCGGCCCTATATGTTGCACGTTGATGTGACCACTGAGAAGGAAGACCTAGAGATTGACAAAAGGTCGCAGACCGATGAGAAGGGGCACAGTACAAACTAAGGCTCGACTTAAAGAGATAACTCCTTTTTTTTTTGGACTCTTGACGCGAGGCTCGAGGGGCGAGACCGACGAGAGGAGGCACCCACGAGCGTTCGTATAAGCGCGAGCGGCACGCGCCACAAGGTACACACGAGTAACGAGAGGATAGGGCTGCCCTCACTTGCGCCCATCCTCGGGACAGTTTGGCCATCACGCAGGCGAAGCCTTCGACGCCAGGAGGCTTCGCGTCACGAATGGTGGGGTGCCGAGGTGGACGCCTCGCAACCCCTTTGGCGCACTATTTCGGGCGAGCTCAGCCCGAGCTGCGGCGGCGGTGACAGCTGCACTCGTAGATGGCTGGGGCGGGTGCGTGTCGCGCTCGCTCGAGCGAGTAACAAGACCCTGTGGTGCCATAGCAGCCCTGGACTCCTTTACGGCATTGGGTGAGCTCACGCACAGGCGCGTGTCTCGCTCGCTAGCCGTGCGGGCAATGGTAGCCTTTCGGGCGCCGGCGGCAACTCTCGCCTCGTATGCACGCGCGGCCCGATTCGACGGCATCGTCGGGCGAGCGGCTGCCACTGCCCGCATAGTCATGGATGACCCCACGCGAAGACCTGAGAGTTGCTCCCCTTCGGCCCGCTGTATGTGCGCGGCGGTGTTGTCGCCCTGCCGGCGTGTGCGCGAGGCGGCGGCATCAGTCCTGGCCGCTGCGTGCTCGCCTTCCCTCTTTTGCGAGTGGCACGTGGCAGCTGCGGGCGGTCCTGCTCTGCCCGCCGATGCCTGACGCAGCTCGCCATCCTGTGCCGGTGCACTGCGGGTCATCGACGGCGAGGCCTCCTCGGCCTCGGTCCAGCCGGGTGTCTGCTGTTCCGGAATCGCCGGCTGCATGTCGCCCTCGAGCTGGTCCCAGCCATTCTCATACACGCTCGGACTGCTCTCGCCCGGCGCCCGGCGGTTATAACCGAATGGCGGGGAGCGTGGCGATGAGAGCGCGGCCAGCACCGCGGCTGGAGGGCCATTCAGGGCTATCCTCGGCGGCCTGCGATCAGGCGAGGTTGCCCACGCCGACACGCGTTCCATATCATTTCGTTACGTTGGCGGCGTACGGAAAGTAATAAAAAAGAGGCTGGCCACGCACATCATGCTGCGCTTCGCGAGCAATCGCGTAACGGGAGGCTCGCTTTATTTCGCTAGAATTTCTACTGTGATTTTCAGTGTATGTGGCTGTTACGTACATTCCAGTAGGAGGACTCTCTTTCTGTTTTGCCCAACATACCTCACACGGCGAGGCGGCTTCGTTCTCCGGGACCCGCTCGACGGTTGCGTCGGGTACAACGCTATACCCGCAGGCGGTTACATTTCTGAACGAGCTGCCAATGTCGCGTTACCTCCTCGGCGCGCTGCTGCTCGATGGCGCCGCGGCGCACACCAACATGGTGGGCATCATGCCGGTCGTGGACACGGCGAACAACGATTTTACGCTCTCCATCGTCTTTGGCACCTACCACTCTGGCGCCGCTCCCGAGGGCGCGCTGGCGCTCTACTCCTGCCCCTCCACATCCACCACTGCTGCCTCCTCGTGCACCACGCTCGCCTACGGCGAGGGCGGGTCCGCTGGCAGCTCGACCAACGCCCTCGGCGCTATAGCCGACGTGGGCAACGTCGTCTGGCCCGCCAACCCCACCGCCTCCGACCTCCTCTCTGTCGGCTTCGCGGCGCCAGGCGAGGTGGCATTTGCGCTCGGCGGGACAGTTGTGGCGTACCAACAGGCCACCATCGGAAGCAGCATCCCATGCACCGCCGCTCGATTCAGGGTGGACTACGATCCCGCGCCCGCCTCGCCTACCGTGGCCAAGTCTGCGCTCGGCCAGGATTACATTCCCTGCGCCACGGGGACCATGGTTGGGAGCTGCGGCACCTTCGACATGACCAACACCTTCGTCGATGTCGACTCGTCCTGCAACGTGGTCCTCGCTGGCATTGTGGGCGTGACCTTCCCTCCGGCCCCACCGCCATCGCCGCCTCCATTGCCCTCGTCACCGCCCTCCACGCCGCCTCCATCGCCGCTCCCGCCGAGCTCGCCGCCGCCGACCTCGCCGCCGCCCTCCGCGCCACCCTCGTCGCCGCCGTCGGATACGAGCATCGTCGTTATCGTCGTCCCCATTGTCATCGGAGTGCTTCTCCTCTGCGCCGTTGGCGGTGGCATCTTGTACATGCGCCGGAAAGGCTCCGCGAAGGAGAACCTGCCCGAGGCTTAGGCGGCCGCCCCGTAAACGGTCGAGCCGGCCGGTCCCGTCTTGGGTCTCGACCTCCAGGGATCTGTGGTCGGAGGATCTGATTCTGGCTAGGGGTGAAGGGGCGGGCCGGGAAGGCTCGCGCCCCGGCCCGTTCCTCGCGGGAAGAGTAATGGAGGAAGACGGGCGAGATTACTTGGGGCCATGTGGGTTGCGGGCAGAAAGAGAGACTCGGGTGTGTCGTCAACGCGTGCAGCTAGTGCTGCCGCTCAGTTGAGCATCCAGGCTCTGCGTGTATCGAGCACTTCTTATCGCGAAATCGCGTATCCGGATTGCTAAAAGCGTTCTCGTCATGGTTCTCGTGCGCCGCCTCGTGGCTCGTGGCGCCAACCGCCATCGGCTCTCAGGCGCGCGGTATCTCGCGAGTGGTGTCGCGTGTCCAGGGTGGGGCGCGTATGTGGCGGGTGGGGCGCAGGTGGGGGGCTGCCCCGGTTGTGAAGTAGCACCGCTCTACACGCGCTGTACACACAAATCAAAACCCACGCAAAGCGTGGACACATGCATGTGCATGTCCCTTCTCAGAGACCGCTTTATTTATTTTATTTATTTAGCACTTCCACAATGCGATGGCTGATGCGGCTATGACAACGAGCTCTTCCAGGCGTGGACCGTGGAACGGCGGCAAGATACGGCGAAAGGAGCTCCAAGGACTTGCCGGAGGAGGTGGTGGCTATGACTTTGGAACTTTGCCGGAGGTGGCGAGCGAAGCAAGAGCGGTGTGCGCGCGTCAACGCTGCGCGGCGGGGCTGCCTCCCCCGCGACCCCAGCCCCTCTCGCAGCCGCAGCCGTAGCCGCAGCGCCCCAACTCTTGCCGCTCTTCTGTGTCGGGTAGTCACGAGGGGTGAGGGGACGGATTGAAGATCCCTCACACCAAGATCGTGCAGGGCGGGGACACATGTACATGTGCATGCACATGGACATGTGCATGCACATGTCCATGTCCATGTCCATGTCCATGTGCATGTGCATGTGCGTGTGCATGTGCATGTCCCTAAATCCCATCTCGTCTCAGAGTTTGACTGTTTCATTTTTCCAGAGGACCCCCCCTCGAAGCCCCCCCCCCCCCCTCCCCTCGGTCCTCTCCCTCTGTTCGCTTTCCGATGGTCAGGTTGCGGAGCCCGCCTTCCCCTCTTCCACTTCCTCGGCCGCGGCCCCGCCGCCGTCTCCCCGGGTGAAGGCGGCGGTGTCGGGACGTACCGCCGCACTTCCTCGAGCGGCTGGGCCAGCTTCTGGTCATTCGCGCCCGCGTCCGCGGTCTCCTCGGCTCTTGGCACTTGGGTGTTGGAGGGAGGAGGGAGGGTGGGGAGAGTAGAGAGAAGGACAGGCGAATGACGGAGAGTCAAAAAGAGAATTCTGGAATTTCACAACAAAACTCCCTCGCACAGCACACGCACAAGACTGGCACGCACTGGCACTAACACGAAAGAGAGAAAACAGATAGGTTGAGGGATGGGAGACGGCTCCAGGCCAGCACGGCGGCTAGATTATTATTCTTCGTCGGCGTGCTCCACAAGCTTCTGAAAAGCTCTGCACAAATGGCGCTTACCCTTGCACCCCGCGGCGCATCCCTCGCGTAACACCGCGCCCGACGGCCCTGCTTCGCTCGTCGCAGGCGCCGGCCCAGTCCTAAGAAAGAAAGAAAGATATTGGACACGCCAAACTGGGGATGGAGAAGGCTTCCCAGCAAAAAAGAATTTTACAACAAAACTCTCTCTCACGACACTAGGCACGGGACTGGCGCGCACTGGCACTAACACGAAGAAAGAAAGTAGAAGGAACGCCACACCATAGCGCCAAACGAACGAGGGGATGGGAGAAGGACAGCGGACAGGGCTTCGAGCAGGATCTCGGAAGGACGATCAGGGGCACAGGCAGGGGAATAAACAACGGGAGCGGGGGCGCATCGACCCGCACGACATACCACCCTCTCTCGTACAGGACAAGGTTGCACCCGGGTCCCGGCGACGGGGGCAGGCGCGGGCCTGGCGCGGGCCTCCTACTGGAGGGTGCGGCGACCGGCGCGGGTGCCGCGCCCGCCGCTCGCCAGGCGATTGCCAACTTCGCTGCCGCGTCTAGACTAGCACCGGCCGGTGCTGACGTGGAAGACGGCGGCCATCCGCGCGTATCTAGTGTGCGTGTGTCGGTGTCTGCAGCCTCCATCCATCCTAGACGTAGCCTAGAGCCTACCTACGATTTAGCAGTAAGTAAGGCGGCCGGCTGGGGGGGGGGGGGGGGGTACGGTCGGCTGGAAGCCTGGCTGTCAGCAGGGTAAGGATCTACACGCGGCCACACCTCCCGCAAGTCCGAACCCCAGTGAGAACACAATGCTTGGCCACGGCCACAGCATCGGCGACCCGTTTTCTGAAGACACGGCGGAGGTGGCGGCGGAGGTGGCGGCGTGGGCTAAGAAATCTTTGGCGCTGCGCGAGGCAAACTCGCGCGAGCTTGAGGCGGCCGCCGCGGGGAGCGCCAATGAGAATGCCCGCGCTGAGGAGGAGGCCCGCGCTCCGGTGGTCGAGCAAGCGAGCCAAGCGCACGCACCCGAGGAATTGCCCGCCCTTGGACCCAGTCCGGCCCGAGCGGCGGATGCGGAGCCCGCTCCTTCCGATGGGGCCGCGGCCGGGGGAGCGTGGCGTGAGGAGGCGGAAGAGGAGGAGGAGGCTCCGCGAGTCGCAAAGCAGGTGCCCCGCGTGACCCGTGGCCGCAAGCGGTACCGAGGCTTCCGGTACGAGGCGCGCCAGGACACGCGCCAGGCGCGGCGGCGGCAGCCAAAGGTTGTCGTGGTTGGCGCGGGCTTTGCTGGCGTCGCGGCGGCGGCGCGGCTGCAAAAGGAGTACGGCTACCAGGTGGAGCTGCTCGAGGCTCGGGGCCGTATCGGCGGGCGCGTGCACTCCCTCCTCGACGGCGAGGGCACGACGGTCGAGCTCGGCGCGGCGGTCCTGATGGGCACGCGCGGCCACCCGCTCGCGACTCTGTGCCGAAAGCACTCTGTCAAGATGGAGCGGCTCGAGCCGAGCTGCCCGCTGCACGACTCGGAGACGGGGAGGCAGCTACCACCGGAGCTGGACGCCCGCGTCGAGTCGCTCTTCAACGACGCCCTCGACTCCGCCTCCGCCGCCGCCCGCGCGCCGCACGCCTCCGCGCTCTTTGCGTACGCGGGCGCGGAGCTCGAGGTCGAGTCGCGCGGGGAGTGGAGGCGCGCGTTGGTGGTGGCGCGGCGGACAGGCACGCCGAGGCGGGGGCCAAGCCACGGAGCCGCCTCCTCCTCCTCCTCCCCGCCAGGAGCCACACCCCCCACCGCCGCCCCGCCGCCGGTCGTCGACGAGGCGGCGGAGGAGGCGGAGGCGGAGGCGGAGGTGGAGGTGAGCGCGCGAGTCACTCGCGCCTCGCCCGTGCCCCCTCTAGTGCCCCCTCCGGTCCTCACCGCGGCAGCGGCCGCCGCCGCCGCCGGTGAGCCTCCGCGGCGGCGCGCGGACTCGGAGTACTCCTCCGAGACGCCTCCGACGCTCCCCTCTCCGGGAGAGCCTGCTGCCGACCTGGCCTCCGAGGCGCTTGTGCGGTACCTGCCTCCGGCGGAGAAGAGGGCGGCGCCGGGCAAGGGGCGGGCGGAGGAGGAGGTGGAGGAGTGGATCGCGCTGCCCTCCGCGCGCCTCCGCCCACCCGCCCTCGAGACGGCTCTCGCGGGGGCGCTGCGCGCCCGCCGCGCCGCCTCGGCGGCCGACGACCTCGGAGGCGAGGAGATGGCCGGGGCGGCGGAGAGGGCGCTGCAGTGGCACCTCGCCAACCTCGAGTTCGCGTGCGCCGCCTCACTCGGCAACGTCTCTGCCGCCGAGTGGGACCAGGCGCGACCAACCCCACGACAGCGCGCCCTCCCCTCCCCCTTCCTCCACCCCCCCCTCCACCGCCTCCCTACCACCCGCCCCCTCCACCGCCTCCCTACCGCCCGCCCGGCGCGAGCAGGACGACGCCTTCGACTACGAGGGCGACCACGTCCTCCTGCCCGAGGGCGGCTACCAGGGCCTCCTCCACAGGCTCGCCGACGGCGTCGAGGCTCGCTGCGGCATCACCGTCACCGGCATCGAGATGCGGGACAACCCGTCCGGCGCGAACCCCGCCCCCCTCCCCCTCCCCCGCCCTGCCCCGCCCCCGCCCCTCTTCTCCCCCGCCCCTCCCACGCGCTGGTGGCGACCGCCCCGAGACCCCCCCCTCCTCTCCGCGCCCAGGCATCCGCGCCGTGTGCAAGGAGTCGAACGAGGTCATCGCCGCCGACGCGCTCGTGCTGACGGCGCACCTCACCATGCCTAGAACCATACCCGCCCTCACCAGCCCGCCCTCACCAGCCCGCCCACACCATGCCCTCCCACACCACGCCCTCCCACACCATGCCCTCCCACACCATGCCCTCCCACACCATGCCCGCCCCGGGGCACACCAGCCCGCCCGGGGCACACCAGCCCTCCCGGGGCACACCCGCCCTCCCGGGGCGGGTCGCGGACCTGCCGATCGCGTGCCCCCACGCAGGTGCCGCTCGGTGTGCTGCAGACCCCGCCAGAGGCCGGAGGGATCCGCTTCACCCCGCCTCTCCCGCACCGCAAGCTGGACGCGCTCGGCCGGCTCGGCTTCGGGCTGCTCAACAAGGCTGCGCCGCCTCGCCCGCCTCCCCCTCCCTGCCCGCGAGGCGACACCCGCCCCCTTGCCCCGCAGGTCGCGCTCTGGTTTGACGCCCCCTTTTGGGGCCGACACTCCGACTTCTTCGGCCGCACTGTCGCCGACCCGCAAGACCGCGGCCTCTTCTTCCTCTTTCTCAACCTGCACCGCGTCTCTGGCCAGCCGGCGCGTCGCGGCCTCCACCTCCTCCGCCCCCCACGCCACCCCCCACAAAACACCCCCCCACGCACAC